CAAGTGAAACTCGGCTTCAGACTCAAGACCATGGTTTGGCAGGGCTGTTCTGCCTGCTGAGTTCAGGAGCGGGCTCTCTCCTAACCCTCACTTCCTCGAACTGCCCTTGCCCACGCGGCAAGTAGAAGGTGGAGTGATGCAGGAATCGGGTTTTTTCATTAGCGCACTGCAACTGCCCTGCTAGTGAATGCTGGCGCGCTAAGAAGGGCAGGTGCTCCCTTTCCTCGCTGGGAAAGAAGAAAGCCAGGGTTGGAATCACACATATGAAGTCTCAGCAGCAGTCTTGGTCTGTGCTTAGACAAGTAATCTCCAGGCGACCCAGATCCCCTGCTCACTGTGAAAACAGACAGTGCCAGAATGAAGCAGAATTAAATTGTTTCTCTTTCGTGGCAGCTGAAGTGTAAAAACTATTCTATTCTGACCTTGTGGTCAGAATATCCTGACACCTCATAAATTATCCTAAGGGCTGAGGGTGCGGGGAGATTTGCAGAGGCTGGAGGTCCACGCTGCAGTCTGCCTGGGCTGACAGCGAGGCGTCCCACCCCGCCTCCTGATAGGCAGGCACCCGGGCGCGGGCTGCGGAGGAATGCAGCTGCCTCCAAGTCAGTTTTTGTGAATGAGGATGAGCATTTCCCCTTTTGTTGTATTCTTAGAGTTTGCATGGCCACGGGGCCTGCTTTCATGAAGAGTTTCTCAGCAAGCACGTGCCAACGCCCACATGTGCGGAGCCTCTGAGGTGGCTTCTATCTTCGCGGCAAAATGAGAAAGGGGAAGGACGCACGGGAGGGGGAGAGAGACCAAAAGATAAAGAGCTGGAGAGGAAAAACGAATTGGAAAGAGGGAAAACCAGGCGGGGCGGGGAGCATGGGTGGGAGGAAGACTGGTCTCTTGACTCAGGACACCCCCGCCCCCTCCCTGTCCCCAGAACATCTGGCCGGGGGAGAACACAGGCTTCTCAGTCCCGTGCAGGATTTCTCTGCCCCCTAGCGAGTCTCCTTTAGCCCCCACATCCATCTGTGCCGTACACACAGTAGGTGCTCTATAAATGTTTGCCTAGTGCTGAGTTCCTTCGATTGCTCCCCCGAGAGGAAAACAGATTTATTTTGGGAAATCCTCCGCATGTAAAGCAGAGTCACTTGGAGCAGTGTTCCTGCAGCCGGCACCACCCTAAGGCTGAAGGAGTCTGGGTGTCTGTGGGAGGGTGGCCTGGCCGTGTCGCGTGTGGGAACAGGGGTGGGTGGTCGGGGTGGTGTAATGAGTGACAGGAGGGCCCTTGGAAATGAAGGGCTCTTTAACTACTGTAAAAATAGAGCTGTGAGCAGCATGCCCAGACCTCCAGCTATGCAGTGACCAAACCTGACCTTGGCAGAGATAAGTAATACTGTGAGGTGGATTCAAGGATTATTAGTCAATGTTTTCAGCCCCTATGGGCTCTTTTTTCTTTTTTTTAAGAATTGCTGGGTGGGTTTTTGGCGAGACACATGATTACAGCAGCCTGTAGAACTCCAGAGGTCTTCCAGGCTTTTTCTAGACTTTTCAATATTAATGCTTTTTAAATTGTCTGAGTTTTTGTTTTCTGTAAGGATATATGTCTTATAGTTCCCCCTTTGGACAATAGATATGGTTGCATATTTTCCTCTGGTCTTAATCTCCCATTTTCTTGGAACATTACTTCTCAAGACATCCTCATTGACAGACAGTCTTCTTTCTGATTCCTCTGGGTGGGGAAACAGAACAAGAGGTGTTCATATAAGGCATCAGAACAGATCACAGTATACTAATTTCCACAGCTGTTGCAGTGCACAAACACATTCACTTGAGGTTGTAACTGCATGGTGCAAGGAGAGGCAGGGCAAAAAGGGTTTCATAGGCTGCAGAGGGAAATCCTATGCCGTCCCATTCCCAAGTGCAGATACCTGACAGGTTCAAGTTGTTATACGCACATCTGCTATCACGGTATAGTAAGCTCCCTGATAATGAAGTAGAATTTTTTTATTAGAGAAATAGCAATGCACAAGTGTTTGTAACACATCCTTAAACCTGCAGTTATTTTGGGTACTATTTTGAATTTAAATAAAATTTTTTTAGATGCTAGAGATTGCGTATTATAAGCTTGATATCAAGGAGTGTCATAAAACTAAAATTTTCTTTGAAAGTGCATTGAGAAGATTTGAAATACTACATGCCTATTTACACATCTTTTTGAGCTTTATGTAGTCAGTCGCCAATGAATTAGCCTAATTCATGATTCTATAGAACGTCTTCCTCTTGTAATTGCCATGCACATCTGCACGTACTTATGTTGATTTCATGTCATTTATTTCCCTCCAGTTAGACACTAATCTCCTTGAGGATAAGAATCAGTGTGATCTCATCCTCTATCCCTCAAGCGCCTGGTATAGTTATGTGGCTCCCGTGCAGGGTCAACAGATGAAGTGCACATTCTACTCTCTGAGGAGCATCTTCAAGCTTGGCTTGTTTTACTCACTTCTTCCTTCATCTCCTTACTAGTAAGTGCATGCTCAAGAAATGCCGATGTCAGCCATAGGAGAGCAAAGCCGGAAACAAAATGCACTTCTGAAATTATATAATACACTTCAAAATCAATGGTAAATTACTTCGGGATTTTCTTTGGCTTTGTAGGTAGCAAGATGATGTTGAAATTGAGGATATAAATTTCAGCCTAT